AGTGTCAGCTATTGCTAATGTATACTCCACCAGGATTGCTGCCACCCAGGGCATCAGGCAGCTTTCTAATAAGGCTCTTCTCCACACTATCCACAAATTCAGCAAGACCCTCCCCAAGGTTCTGCCTTAGGCCCACCAAGGGGTCCTCTGATGGTCCTTCATTGAGCTTCTTCCAGGCTGCCAGTCCCACCCACCTTATCCAGAGGCCTTTTTTATGACGAACACTGGGGTATTCCAGGGGCTGGTGGAAGGGCAAAGGTGCCCCAGCGCCCTTTGTTCCTCCACCAATTGTGTAAGGGCTTTGAGTTTTTCTTTGGTCAGAGGCCACTGCTCCACCCAAACAGGGCTTCCCTCTTTCCATTTAATACGAGGGACATGGGGGCCTTCAGTATTGGGGGTGAACCCAGGGAATTTTGTCAGACTCACCTCTGTAATTATGAAAATATGGAAACTCATTTTCTGAAATATCCTCAACCCATTGAGGCAACCGGTTAGCCTCTTCCTGGTCTAGGAGATCCTCAGAAAAGGCTCTATTATCTGTGGTCAACACGGCGTTCATCTGCCCCAATGGGTCTTGTCCCAACAAGTTGGACTGGAGGCTGCTGACCACTAGTGGTTGTATTTTCCCCTCTCGACCCATCTGCATCTCTCCATTCTATGAACTCCCAGCACTTTTGGGCCGGGTTGCAGCTTCCATGAGTGTGGCACTTCCTCCTTCCGCAGTATTGTGCGGTTGGCGCCAGTATCTACTAGGCAGAGGAACCTCTTGCCCCCCCCAAAAGATATGCATCTTAGGCCTTACTCCCTCATACATTGGAACTGTCCAGTGAGCCTGTGAACTCTGTAAACCTGGACCTCCTAATCCTCTTTTGGCTGACAGGGCTAGAGGCTGCCCCATAATTAGTTTAAAGGCTTGCCTGTCATGTCAAACCTCGACCTGCAGTCTTTCTTCCAATGGAACCCTTTTCTACAATGGGTGCAAGGAGTACCAAACAGCAGGGGTCCCCAACAAGCCCCCATTTCCTTTGGGGATGTGATGAGCCTTCCGGCCCTGAGGGTCTCATCAGACAGCCATGAGTGCCTGATTAAATGCTTCGGTTAAGGAAGCTGTTTGGGCTTGGAGCACATGGGCCAAAGTTTGAGATTGGTGTTGATTTATTCCAACATCCTGGGAGGCCACGACCCACCAGCTGATCGAAGCATGTTTTAGACCTGAACAGGCAGCGCGGTGGTCTGAGTTCATGCCCTCACACACCAGCACTCGAGTAAACTCATCCCTGAGTGCCCCAGCAGGCAGCTTTCTAATAAGGCTCTTCTCCACACTATCCACAAATTCAGCAAGACCCTCCCCAAGGTTCTGCCTTAGGCCCACCAAGGGGTCCTCTGATGGTCCTTCATTGAGCTTCTTCCAGGCCGCCAGTCACGCCCGCCTTACTTGGTCCCTATACGGGGCGTGCAAGGCCGCCTGCTGCGTCCCTGTGGAATAGCTATCAGTGGTACCCGCCAGTTGGCGGTAGGTAAGAGGGATTTGAGGGTTAACTGTGTGATTTCGTTCTGCTATGATCCTACATTTCTCCTTATACAAGGCCAGCCATTCAATGAAGAGGGGACTGGGGAGGATGGCCTTAGCCATATCAGTCCAATCCCTAGGGATGGGTGGTGGGCGAGGTTCTCCAGTAAAGCCTCAGCCCACAGTGAGTTGGTGCTGTCCTGGAGGACTGCTTGCCTTAGTTCCTTGAGGTCCTTAGCCTCCCTCGGATACCAGTCTGCTGGCCTCTATGGCCCTGGGAGTAAGTTGACCAGGAACGCCCTGCATGGGGTGGTGGATGGGCACTGCACCCTCACTGGAAAGGCATCAGTGTACACTGGCTCTTCCAGAGGCTGAGGGGCCGAGGGGGGGGAACCGCCCCCTCTCCTCCCCCCAGTGAAGAGGCTTGCACTGATCAACCCGCCGATAGGCTGGGGGCCTCCCAAGATCTTCGTCCTGGTCAGGGCGGGGGGGGGCTCCCGATCTGTCTCCTCAGGCTTGCACCCGGTACCCCCTTTTTCCTGGGCCTCAACTGAGCTTTAATATCCACTGCTAGCGCGTCAACAGGGTCCCCTTGGGCCCGGTGCTCCTGCCTTTCCTTGTCAAACATGGCCCAATCGTCCTCATTTCCTCGTTCTTCCGCCCCTGCCTTTGCATCACCCCCCTTTCCTTTTGCAAGTTGAGGGGAGGGAGGCGTCTCTGGGTGGAAGACCAGTCTTTCTTCCAGTGGAACCCTTTTCTACAGCGGGGGCAAGGAGTATTCGGCTTGCTTGGTCCTTGATCCTCCTGCCTCCCTGCTTGGGACCCGGGGAAGACTTCCTCTGGACAGTCTCTCTTAAAACCCCGAAGTGCCTCTCCCGTTTTCTCGCCAGCTTTTCAACCCTTTCCCTCGTGTCCCAGGAGGATAGATTGGCCGTGGGGGCCCATGGGGCCAAGAGAAGTACCGTATCCCAAACGCGGCATGCGGTGGAGTCTGAAAGCTCCAGCCCATGGCTTTTGAGCAAATATTGTAGGGCTTTCACGGCAGGCTCATTTCTTCCTGAAGTTGCGTTACCCATACTAAGGGTCTCACTTACCCCAAGAGCCCAATTGGCCTCGACCGAAACTTTGCACTAGTTCCTCACACGGGGCACCAGATGCCACGGTCTCCGAACCCCTTTGTCTCAGGCAGAGAAACGAGTGGCCGCCGAAATGGGGGTCGAGGAGGGGGAAGTGCGCTGCCCACCGTTTCGCCAGCCCTTCTCTCCAAGGACAATCAGACACGGCAGGGAGTCACTTCAAGCAGGAAAACTCATTTATTGGCAAGGCTGATCAATATTTAAGGGCAAAAGTCACAAGCATTAGCATAGGCAGGAAAGCTGTCATCCAGTCAGCTTAGAGGTCACGTATGCCACGCAGGCTCTTCTCGATGCCACGGTCTCTGAACCCCTTCGTCTCGGGCAGAGGAACGAGAGGCCGCAGTGATGGGGGTCGAGGAGGGGGAAGTGCGCTGCTCGCCCGTTTCACCAACCCTTCTCTCCGAGGACAATCAGACACGGCAGGGAGTCGCTTCAAGCAGGAAACTCGTTTATTGGCAAGGCTGATCAATATTTAAGGACAAAAACCGCAAGCATTAGCATAGGCAGGAAAGCGTCATCCAATCAGTTTAGAGGTCATGTATGCCCCGCAGGCTCTTCTCATAGTATAACATATTGTTCACGAGGTGATCACACGTCCTTTACTGGCTAGGCTCCAATCAATATTACTTCCTCTTTTTGTGGCGGGCCAAGCTGGCCAGCTGGCTCCACCTTCACCTCAGCTGCTTGGCGCCATCTTGTTACCACACCTCCACAGGGGAATCAAACCTGGGTCCTCTGCAAAAGCAGTCAGTGCTCTTAACTGCTGAGCCATCTCTCTAGCCCTGGTCCTATCATATCTTTTCACAGATACATTAGGACATTAGAATGTTCTCTCATTCTTTTGTCCTTATTTTACCTCTTGAGATCACACCAATGTGACCCCTCCTTTTCCTTTCCTTTTTTTCCTCTTCCTTTCTTCCCTCCTTTTGTTTTTGTTTGTTTGATTTGTGTTTTGGAGATGTAGTCTTGCTCTATAGCCCAGGCTAGCCTCAAACTGGAGTGCTTCATGCCTCAGCTTCCTGACTGCTAGGATTATAGTCAAACTACCATGCCAGCTCACTGACTCCTCTTCTTTAGAAAACATGTTGCAGTATGTAACTGACTCTTGAGTATTTTTCTTTCAACAAGCCTTAAAAGAAAAAAGAAAAAAAAAAAAAAAGAACAGCATTACTAAGCCTTGTATTTTCATTCTAGTGCAGTTATTTTGGGTTTTGATTTTCTGTTTTGTTTTGGTGATGCTAAGGATGGAAAAAACAGGGCCTTATGTATATACATTTGCTATGCAAGTGCTCTGTCACTAAGCTGTATCCCTAGGTCTTTGTTTGCTTTTGTTTAACTTTTTAATTATATTTACTTTTTTTGTTGTGTGCACGTAGGCACAAATACCACAGCACATCTGTGGAGGTCAAGGGCAGGAGTTGAGTCTCTCCTTCCAACATATGGGTCTCAGGGATCCAACTCAGGGTGTCAAGCAAGACAGTAAGTGCCTTTACCCTGTGAGCCATCTTATTGGCCCTTGTTTCTTTTGTGTGGACAGGATAGAGGGGAGTTGAGACAGAGTCACACTATGTAGCCCTGGCTGGCCTGGAACTCACTGTATAGACCAGACTGGCTTAGATCTCACAAGTATCTGCCTGCTTCTGCCTCCCAAGTGTTGGGATTAAAGGCATGTGCTTCCACTTTTGACCTATGTCTCTTTTTTTGAGATAGAATCTCACTGTAGTCCAGATTGACCCCAAACACATGATCTTCCTGCCTCTCCTTCCCAGGTGCTGGGATTAAAGGCCTTCCCCATCACAGCTCCATTGAGTTTTGTTTTTCAACCAAGTTTTTCCTTATTTTTAAAAAAAATTTTTTTTTAATTACATGTATCTGAGTGTATGTCATATTGGAAGGTGTACCCAACATGGGCAGAAGAGGACATCGGATCACCTGGAACTGGAGTTACAGGTGATTGTGAGCTGCCCAACCTGGGTGCTGGGAACCAAACTCCAGACATCTGGAAGAGCAGGACGCACTCTTAAACCCTGAGCTGCCTTCTCTCCAGACCGTTCATTTTCATCTTACTAAATTCAGCTGACGGAATGCCAGTCACATCCCTGCATTGACTGGCTATTTCAATTTCACATGTGCCACAAAGCTCAAAGCTTGGCATCTGTAGCCTCATTGTTATCATTTATACAAGTGTTGAATTAGTATTTAAGTTTTCTTTGGCCCTGTTTAAGTAGGAAAAATGTAAAATATACATAGAAGAAATTTGGATTATAATGAGTTGTTGGCAACTTTATTTGCAGTTTCTAGTTTTGGTATAAGTCATATTTTTATAATCTGTTTTCTTTTTTCTTTTCCTCCAGGGATCCATCTGTCTCGAAGTCTGTAGAACGAATCTTTAAAATCTGGGAAGATAGAAATGTATACCCAGAAGAAATGATTGTAGCATTGAGAGAAGCTTTAAGTAAGTGTCTTTCTCCCCTAGAAGAATTTCAAGCCAGTCTTTACAATTTTGTCTCTATAGATTTGATCTTTTGGTCATTTTGAAACCTTTTATAGTAGTAATAATAACAACAACAAAACACTGGCTCTAGCCCTGTTTGCTTAAATACTTAAAAATATAGCCGGGCGTCGTGGCCTATGCCTTTAATCCCAGCACTCGGGAGGCAGAGGCAGGCGGATCTCTGTGTGTTTGAGGCTAGCCTGGTCTACATAGCAAGTTCCAGGCCAGTTGGGGCTACAGGGCGACCCTGTCTCAAAGATACAAATAAATAAATACTTAAAATTATAAATGTATTTGAATTCAAAATTAAAGTAGAATTGATTTAGATTGGGGTTGGATTTTTGTCTTTGTTAACTTCAAGCATAGTAAATGCTGATTGTCATCTGATTTTCCTGTATTTGCTTTAAGTACTTCAAACTATTGATTGGTTGTGTTTAATAAGCTGCTCTGTCCTCTTACTTGGGGAAATTTGGGATGTGGTTTCACATCTCACTAAGCTGTATATTGGTAGTCTTCAGACTCCATTTTGACTTAGATTTACAGTAAGTTATGTATCTACTGTTGAGTGTGTGCTTTTCTAAAGTAAATTAGTTCTTATGTATTAGATTTATATAATTAAATCACTGAATAGAAGTTAATAGTCTGTTACTATGACCATTTCACTAGAAATTTGCTTTTGAAAGAACACCTTCTAAGAAGCTGTTAAATTCTTCACGTGATTTATAGTCTAGTGTTCATGTTCAAAAATAATAATTATTTTTAGCCTCTGCCTTATTCTTTTTCAGAATTGGGGATTTCATTGATTATAGAAATTGTACTTATTTGACAGCTTCTTAGATTTGGTGGGTGTTTTCTGGATTTTTTTATAAAAATGAAAGAAAAGAAATGAAAGAAACTACACAGTCTCGGATTGCCTTTTTTCATGCTACAACTTTGGCACTGAAGTGGACAGACAGAACAGCTTCCCGTAATGCCAGATTGCAAAAACTGAAATGTTTTCCAGGTACCACTTTCAAAACTCAGAAGCAGCTGAAAGAAAATCTGAACAAACAACCGAATAAGCAGTGGAAGAAATCACAAAGTAAGGAACAAAATCTCAACTAATCTAAAATTACCTCCTCCTTTTGGAGCAGAAGAAAATGTAGACCATTTGACATCGTACCTGGCATTGGCATAAACCATGGGCAAGCCTGTGTTTTCCAGGCCTGGGAGGCTCCCAGTGACTTAGACTAATCAAGCCACCATGAAGTTAACTTCTTTTAAAATCCACTATTAAAGGAAATGCAGAAAAAGGGTTTAATTGAGCGAAGACTCAAGAGTAGTTGGGGGATTGAAAGAAGAAAAAATACTTGCTAGTACCCAGGCAAATTCTCAGATTCAAAAATGTATGAAATTAGAGGCAGCTGGCATTAAACAACAGAGCTGAAGAGGAGACTAGGCATTAAGAAGCATTCCTCTGGGAGCCATTGACATCCTTCAGATTTGGGGATACACTCTACCAAATTAGACATGGGCCTCCAATCCTGACAAGAAACTCATTCTCTATCTGGAGCTCCTGTTATGTTTATCCTATTTACCCAGCATGAGATCAAGGGAGTGGAATGCTGCATGTGATAGACTGTTGTGGGCAAACTGAGGAATATTGAGAGACTTGAAGGTTTGGAGGGAACAAGGTAAAAGACAGTAGAGAACTGGGAGGTGAAGCAAGACAGTTGGGATGGTTTTGCTTCATCACGCATATGATATTCATCATGGTTAAGGGAGTCCTCTGGAATTCTGTTGGTCATACGTTGCATGCTTAGGAACAACAAGAGACATCATTTCAGCCAAAAGTTCAACTGCAGTCATAATATATTTAGACCTTTTGTTGCTATGAATTGAGTCAGCTGAAAAAGAAATCCAAACCTAAGTACATGGGAGTTGATATTTGTAAGTAATTTTCTTCGGCCAGTGCTCAGGGTTAATTGGATGTCTTGCTCCTGGACACTCTTACTTTGAGGTATTGGGGTTTTCTTATACTCAGTGAGATTAGGAAAAGAAGGTACTTCATGTACCTCTGTCTCCAATTCATTAATTCTAGGCCTGAAAGGGTCTGTTGGAGGTAAGTTGGTTAGACTTATCTAAATAGTATCATTTCTATTGACCATACTTTAAATTTCATAGTCAGTTATTTACTGTAGGAATTATATTATGATTTAAATGTGCACGGTTGCCATATGTTTGCAGAGTACACCCTTAACTCCACATCTCAATTTTTCCTAGATTTAAGTCTTCATACTATATTTTTAATGACCTTTTATTTCGTTCAACAGCATCCACCAGTCAAAAAGCTGCTCTCAAGTCTAAAATAGTTGCTGAATTTCGAGTAAGTTATAAAATACATTAAGTATAGCAAAGCATTATTATTATTCACCCCTTTTGGGTTGCAGTTTCTAGTAGGACTTCCTTTTACTCAGCTGTTTGTTAAGAATCCAAATTAAAGCTGGACGTGGTGGCACACGCCTTTAATCCCAGCACTTGGGAGGCAGAGGCAGGTGGATCTCTGAATTTTGAGGCCAGCCTGGTCTACATAGTGAGTTCCAGGCCAGCTGGGGCTATAGGGAGACCCTGTCTTTAAAAAAAGGGGGGACGGGGGGCAGGCCTGGTGATGCACGCCTGTAGTCCCAGCACTTGGGAGGTAGAGGCAGGTAGATCTCTATGAGTTCAAGGTCAGCCTGGTCTACATAGTGAGTTCCAGGCCAGCTAGGGCTTCAGAAGAAAAAAAAAAAATCCAAATTAAAATTTAAAGAGGATATAAGGGGGCCTTTGTTTGAGTGTTAAATTTGTAACTCTAAATTAACTTGATTTTTTTTTTTTTTTAATCTTTTTGAGACAGGGTCTCCTTGTAGCCCCAGCTGGCCTAGCATTAGCTATGTAGACCAGGCTGGCCTCCCACCCAAGTGCTAAAATTAAAGGCATGGGCCACCATACCCGGCTTGAATCATTTGTTCTAAAGGACTAATGAGATACTCAGCAGGTAAGGCACCTACTGCCAAGCCTGATAATCTACCTGAATTTGATTCCCAAAACCCACATAGTGGAGGGGGAAGCAACTGCCTCAAACAATTTTTTGTAATTTAAGGAAAAAGATTTTTAAAATTTATTTATTATTTTTCTTTTATGTGTATGCATGTATTGCCTGCATGCAGTGCCTGCTGAGGCCAGAAGAGCCTGTCGGATCCCCTGGAACTGGAGTTATGGACAGTTGTTAGCTGCCATGTGGGTTCTGGAATTCGAACACATGTCTTCTGCAAGAATAACCAGTGTTCTTAACCGCTGAGCCATCTCTCCAGCCCCAGAAAAAATATTTTTTTAAAGTATATAACTTGCCAGTTGTGATAGTATAAGGCCTATAATCCTAACACTTAGGAGGCAGAAACAGGAAGATTACCACAAGTTTGAGGCCAGCCTGGTCTATGTAGCAAATTCTACGTCAGCCGTGTCTACATAGATTCTGTCTTCAAAATTATAAAAGTAATAGCTGAATTTTTCCTCTTAGGGACTGTGTTAGCTTTAATCTGTATTCTTTAGGGGAGTAGAATATTTGAATGATCTTATAAATGAGATATAACTCCGGTCTGTGTTCAGTCTCAGGCCCTCATTGAAGAGCTGTTGTTGTACAAGCGCTCAGAAGATCAGATAGAACTGAAAGAGAAACAGTTGTCGACTCTGAGAGTGGATGTATGCAGCACAGAAACTCTCAAATGCTTAAAAGGTAATACAAATGCCCTGAAATAAAACACCTTAAGAGTTTTCTTTCTAGATCTTTTAGGTAATTGGACTAGTTTGCCCCATAAAGAGAATTGTAAGCATGGTTCTGGGTTGGATTCCCAGCAGAACATTTAAGAAAAAAGGGAGGAAAAAAATTTTAGATGGTAGAAGCAGTTGTGGAAACTGCTGATTTCCCAGGTAACAAAACTCTCAAATAAATTCTTACCCTTCTCACTTTCTTGGTATGTCGGATTATATAAACAGTTGCGCTTCACCTGTGTTATTAATTGGTTTGGTTGTCTTTTGTTGTTGGTAGTTTATTTTTTGGTTTTTTTGAGACAGGTTAAAAAAAGACCTGGAATGCTGTAGACCAGACTGGCCTTGATTTCAACTCACAGAGATCCACCTGCCTCTGCCTCCCAAGTGCTGGGACTACAGGCGTGTGCTACCACGCCCGGCTAGCTTTTTTTTTTCCACAGTGTTAGTTTTGAGGTCCGAGGTCCGTGACATTTGTTTAATATTCAGTTTTGGTTCAGATATTCAAACTTGGCCATCTAAATAAAGCTAGGTTTGGCTAGAGAGCATGTTCCTAAAGAACTCATTAGCAGAATTTAACCACTGTTGAGAGGAAAAGACAAATTGTATACCCATATCCAAAGCTATATTTTAGCATCCACTGGGAAACTGATAGTTATCAAATCATAAGGACCTTTTTTCAGAGAGGAATGAAAAATTTTTTAGTGTGGTTCCTACAGAGATGACTTTACTTCTCTGAACCTTAGTTTATCATTGAAGGGACATACATATGTTAGTGACTTCTATAATACAGAAAGTAGATTCAGGTGAACAGATTGACCTTCATTTTGTTATTCCATAAACAGGAGTATGGCAAAAAGTTTATAAAATAAGTAGCCAGGAGGGGCTTAGAGAGATGACTCAGTGGTTAAGAGTTTTTGATGCTCTTACAGAAGACCTGGGTTTGATTCCTAGCACATACATTGGGCAACTCTTAACTGCCTGTAATTCCACTTCCTCTTCAGGGCTTCTTTTTATTTATTTATTTTATTTTATTTTATTTTATTTATTTATTTATTTATTTATTTATTTTGAACAGACAGGGTTTCCCTGTCACTCCAGCTGGCCTGGAACTCACTGTGTAGACCAGGCTGGCCTTGAACTCACAAAGATCCACCTGTCTATGCCTCCCGAGTGCTGGGACTAAAGGCATGCACCACCACTACGCCCAGCTGTCCTCTTTGGGGGCTTCTAAGGGCACCAGCATACATGTGTTGTACATACATACATGCAGGCACTCACATAAAATGAAAACTAAATCTTTAAAGAAGAAAAAAAAAGGCAGGCGTGGTGACACACATCCCAAGGCTGTCACGTCCCTAGGCAAATATAATTTCTTACTATGTGCAAAATGTGGATCCTTGAATTACAGACAAGTATCCCAGTCACCACCCATCAAAGAAGCTTCTTTTTAAAGAGACCGATAATTACAGAGCTCCACAACTGGTCACACACAGAGATTGTGAATTGCCCAAGCCTAAGTGGCACATCTAGGATGCAACCTCTACAACTAAGACTCACAGAACATAGAACAAGCGATGAAGAAAACACTAATGCATCTTCCAGTTCTTATCAATGAAGCTCCCTCATGCAACAGAAGACCAGGAACAAAAAAGGTCACAAATGGCCAAAACACAGAGAATAAGAGTCTTCAGAGTGTGGGTTCTTAGACAGGACTTCTGTATTAAAATCCACCCACCCAGGGCTCAAGGACCGTTATGGAAGAGGGAGCGAAAAAATTGTAAGAGCCAGGTAGGATGTGTATGACCATATGGAAATAGTCCTACAGGCTCCTGGGACTCTTTTCATAGAAAACTACAGCAATGGTGTCAGCATACACAAGACCCATGCAAACTTAAGCAGACAAAAATCCAGTACGGAGGGACTGTAGAGGTAGCTCACCAGTTAAGAACACTGACTAGGGGCTGGAGAGATGACTCAGCGTTAAGAACACTGACCTTGCAGAAAACCCGGATTCAAATCCCAGGACCCACATGGCAGCTAACAACTGTCCATAACTCCAGTTCCAGGGGATCTGACAGCCTCTTCTGTCCTCTGTGGGCATTTCACAACACGGGTGCACTTACTTACATGCAGGCATAACACTCATATACATAAAAGAAAAATAAAATTTAAAAAAAAACAACACTGATTGTTCTTGCAGAAGACCCAGGTTCAAAACCTAGCACCCACATGGCAGCTAACAACTGTCTGTAACTCCACTTCCAGGGAGTCCAACAGTCTCTTCTGTCCTCCTCGGGCATTGCCTGACATGGGTGCACTTACCTGCATGCAAGCAATACATGCATACACGTAAAATAAAAATAATAAATAAAATGTTTTTTAAAATGCCGGGTGTGGTGGCACATGCCTTAATCCCAGGACTTGGGAGGCAGAGGCAGGTGGATCTCTGTGAGTTCAAGGCCAGCCTGGTCTACATAGTGAGTTCCAGGACAGCTGGGACTACAGGGAGATCTGTCTCAAAAAGACCAAATAAATAAATAAATAGCATAGAACTGTGGAAATGAACAGCAGGCCCCAATCTTAGTTGAAGAGTTATTGGGCACATGCCTTAATCCCAGGACTTGGGAGGCAGAGGCAGGTGGATCTCTGTGAGTTCAAGGCCAGCCTGGTCTACATAGTGAGTTCCAGGACAGCTGGGACTACAGGGAGATCTGTCTCAAAAAGACCAAATAAATAAATAAATAGCATAGAACTGTGGAAATGAACAGCAGGCCCCAATCTTAGTTGAAGAGTTATTGGCAGCTGATTACTGCTGGGTGTGA